AGAAGCTCAAGTTCATACTTCATCTGATGCAAAATGATTCCTTTCTCAAAGTACATAAACTTCATATCAGCAAGTGTGATAGAAACTTTGCAATTCTCTAGCTTAAATCTCTTCAGAAGCTCAAGTTCATACTTCATCTGATGCAAAATGATTCCTTTCTAAGAGTACATAAACTCCATCCCTAGAAAGAAACTCATTTTCCCAAGATATGTCATCTCAAACTCATTCATCAAAACCTTCTTGAACTCAGCTATCTCTTGTTCTTAACTTCCAGTGAGAAATATGTCATCAACATACAAACATACCAGAATCATATTACCTTATTAAGTATGCTGAACATAAACACAATACTCCATCTCACACTTCTGAAATCCCTGTCCCTTGAAAAATGAATCAATCTTTAGATTCCAAGCTCTGGGCGCTTGCTTCAATCCATACAAGGCTTTGTGTAATTTGAACACCACCCCTTCCTGATTATTTTTTCTCAAATCTAGGAGGTTGTGACACGTACACCTCTTCTTGTAATGGACCATTCAGAAGTGCAGATTTTACATCTAAATGCATCAGAGGCCAATTCCTGTTAGCAGCTATTGCAATCACTAGTATGATTGTTTCATGTCTCGCTACAGGTGAAAACACTTTAGAGTAATCCAACCCAGACTTCTATAGAAATCCTCTTGGTACTAATCTTGCTTTGTATTTTTCATTAGATTCATCCGGCTTTAGCTTCTTCTTGAAAACCCATCTGACGCTGATGGCTTTCTTGCCTTTTGGAAGTTCTGTCAGCTTCCAAGTCTTGTTTCTCTCTATAACATCAAGTTCTTCTTTCATGGCCTGCAACCAGACTTGCTGCTTAAGAGGCTCTTCCGTACTCACGGGTTTAGAGTCTACTAACATTGCACACTGAATAACTTCTCCTTCGAAGTCTACTTCAGTATCTTGTAACATGTCAAACCCTGCAAATCTTCATGGGATGCTTCTGACTCTTTGTTGCCTCTGAATTTGAACTTTAGAACCTATGACACCAGAACTTTCCCATTCAGAAGCTCTTGCTTCAGAAATTTGATTTTCTCCAGAACCTTGACTGTTTTCAGAGTCTGGAAAATCCCCAGAGTCTGAATCACCATCGGAGTCAGAGTCAGAATCATCTGTACCTTCTGAATCTTCTTCAGAGTCAAAGTCTTTACTAGCTTCAGAAACACGTGTTTCTGACTTTTCTTCAGGAGTTCTCTCATCAGAGTCAGGACGAGACCTTTCCCAATTCCAGACTTCTGATTCTTTTACAATGACATCTCTGCTGAACTAAACTTTGTTAGTTTCTGGATAGTAAAGTTTGTACGAACCTGTACTGTGGTACCTCACCAATAACATTACTTTACTTCTATCATCCAACTTCTGTCTTCTGAGACATGTTTGTAACATACAAAACCAAACACCTTCAGATGACTAACACTTTGCTTATCTCTAGTCCACTTTTGAATAGGAACTATTTCCTTCAATTTCTTCATTGGACATCTGTTGAGCACATAACATGCAGTGGCAATAGCTTCTCCCTACAAAGTATGAGGAAGCTTCTTCTCTTTCAACATGCTTCTCACCATATCAAGAAAAATACAATTTCTTCTTTCAACAAGACCATTGTGTTGAAGAGTACAAGGATCAGTAACCTCATGCTCAATTCCATTCTCCTCACATAATCTTCTGAATTCTATGGAGTTATACCCACCACCACTATCAGTTCTAAGAATCTTCAGAGTCTGGCCACTATGATTCTCAATCTTTAGTCTGAACTTCTTGAATTCAGTAAACACCTTGTGTTTGTACTTTATGAGAGATACCCATATCATTCCGGTGAACTCATCAACAAATGACACAAAGTATTTATTCCCTCCAATTGATGCTACTGGAAATGAACCACACATATCAGAATGCACTACTCCCAAGGCATGATTTGCTCTTGGAGCTACTTCTGATGCAAATGGTAATCTTGGTTGCTTCCCTTCCATGCACACCTTTCATGACTTCTCAGGCTTCTAGATTGTAGGAATTCCATGTACCCGCTTCTTTGATTTCAGATGCCCTAAGCTTCTGAAATTCAGATGACCAAATCTTCTGTGCCACAACTCACTCTCCTTGACAACACTTATTGCACTAAGACATTCAGAGTCTACAATTCTAACATTCACCTTGAATGTTCTGTTCCTTCCCTATTCTGACTCTATAATCATCTTCTGATTACAGTCATACATCTTCAGAAGATTGTCCTTCATGGTAACCGAAAAACCTTTCTCAATCAATTGTCCCACACTCATCAGATTGCTTTTCATGCTAGGTACATACCATACATTCTGGATCATTGCTGCTTTGCCATTGTTTAGAATGATTCTGACATTTCCCATACTTTTTGCATTAAGGTATTTATCAACAGCACATCTGATCTTTGTACTCTTCCCAGAGTCAAAATCAACCAACCATTTCTTGTTTCCAGTAAGATGGTTTGAACACCCTGTGTCCATATACCACCATTCTGATGAATTCATATTATCAGGTTCAGAAGCCAACAATAGCACAAGTTCATCATCTGAATCTCCTCTGGCTATATTTGCTTCTTCTGACTTCCTTTTTTTGTTCGACCATCAATCTTTGGCATAGTGACCAAAGTTCTTGTAACATTAACACTGGACATTCTTCTTGTCAAACTTCTCATTTCCCTTCTGGGCAGTCTTCTACATATCATAGTTTGAAGCTTCTGATCTTTGACCACTATTAGTTTTCTTCCCGGCTTCTGACCAAGTCTGCTTCTGATACTTCTTACCAGAAGTTACTTTCAGAGCCTGATGCTCTACTTCCCTCTCAGAAGTTATCTCAGTCATACGCAACTCATGCGCCTCTAGACTACTTTGTAGCTCTTCAACTCTCATGGTGCTCAGATCTTTGGAATATTCAATTGCTACCACAATGTAATCAAACTGAGAAGTTAAAGATCTCAATATCTTCTCAATGATTACTTGTTCAGAAAGAGTTTCTCCATAAACTTTCATCTCATTAGTGAACATAATCACTCTAGAGATGTACTCAGAAACCTTCTCGTTGTCCTTCATATTGAGATTCTCATATTGCTTTCTGAGAGACTGAAGTTTCACCTTCTTTACTGATGCGTCACTACCGTAACATCTGACCAGTGTGTCCCACGCAACCTTTTCTATTTCAGAGTCAATAATCTTCTCAAACACGTTCGCATCCATACATTGATGGATGTAGAACAACGCCTTCTGATCTTTCTTCATTATCGCCTTATGCGTCATCTTCTGTGCCTCTGTCGCGTCAGCTACTATCAGATCATAGTCATCGGTGATAAGATCTAACACATCTTGAGAACCAAACAACACACGCATCTGGATCTTCCAACGATTCCAGTTTTTGCCATCAAAAAATGGAAGTTTGGAATTGATATCACCGTTTCCGTTCATCTTCAACCTTGTGCAATTCACTCAAAAACTCACTAAAAAACAGTGTTTCCCAAATCTCACAGAATCAGAAAAATGTGATTCTCAATCACACAACACCTCACCGTTCACTCGTGTTTCCCGTAGATTTCGACCGGTGATCGGATATCAATTGTTGGTGCACAAAGGAGAGATGAAGGGCAAAAGGAATATATTGAATGACGGCTACAAAATAAGGAATAATGAATTACATTGACCTACCTACTACTAGGCTATTTATACACATAATTAGAGTATAATAAAATACTAAAATACCTTCTAACATACTTAATCAATAAGATATTTTTAAAATATAAATTAATTTCAACAATATAGAAGAAGATTTAGAAAAACTAAAAAAAGTTAGAGAAGACACGTAGATTATGTGATAAGGAGAGGAGATCAAATGAGGATGAGTCAAATAGCTAGAGAAAGAGGAAAATTTTGAGAAAATCTAAGATGATATAGTATGTAGTTACATAGAGGAGATCAAATGAGGATGAATCAAATAGCCAGAGAAAGAGGAAGACCTAGAAAAACTTTAAAATGATCTAATATATAATTACGTAAAGGAGATCAAATGAGGATGAGTCAAATAGTCAAAAAAAGAGGAAAACCTAGAAAAATTCTATAATATAATGTAATATTTAGTTAAGTAATCAATTCTATTTAGTGAGATGATATTTGATTGTTTTTGTTGTATTCATTCCCTTGATCCAAACACAGTTAGCCTTTTTCAGTATATCAAACACCAATTTATATGTTCGAAAACTTTTGCACGAGTCATGTCTTTCATTGATTGGGATGGAGAAAATTCAACACGTATATGAAGGTTTGCACGAAGGTAATCATTTCATTTGTTTGTATATGCACACATCACGCGTGCAAAAATGTCCACTAGCACTTAAAAGAAGACTAGTTTAATATGAACATACTACTAAATAATGGAAAATAGTTAATTGCCCTTTGAAAAGAAAACAGGGTAGATGGATATATAAAAACAACCAAACAAGGAGGATTTGAAGACTTTTTATTTTGTAGTAGTTTATGTTAATCACAACTCTTCAACTATAAATGAAGAACACAAATTAATATTTGAAATTAAACAAAATTAAATGTGATGACAATTTGTAACATGGCCAATTGTTGAACTTGGGATTAGTCAAATTGTTACTTTAATGTTCTCCTTGGCTTTAACAATAGTAGTAATAAATATTATATGGTCTTGATTCAGCATAATGCATCTAAAATTCCGGGTCAAAGTGATCAATTTCATTTGTCATTAAAGCAAACCATTACTCTTATCAACGTGCTTGTTAATAACTTTTCTCTTATTGTAGGCTTCTCCATTACTAACCATAATTAATTTTAATACTATTTAATTAACTTAAAGTCAATCAACACCTTCCTCCTCTATTTCCTTTCTCTTCAAGTGCTCTATATATACACAACGATCCTATTTGCTCAACATATCAAAAACTTTAACATATTTCTTTTTCAATTCAACCATCAGCAATGTCCTCGGAGTTTTCGACTTCGTCATCAGTTTGCAGTTCGGATGGATCATCTGTGTCTTCCAAGGCCAAGGAAGAGACAGGAGCTATGGTTCTACGAGGTTGTCTTCGGTGTCTCATGTATGTTTTGTTATCAGAGGCTGATCCTAATCCAAAATGTCCCAAGTGTAAGAGCACTGTGTTGCTTGATTTCCTTAATGACAAGCATAACACCAGAAAAGCAAGCAGCTAGCAATGTGCACATCAGGAATATGAAATGTAACATGTATTTGTGCTATTCTATGTAAGAAATAATTCAAGTTATATATAGATGGTTACATTTTTCTATGTATTTTAATATTGCGGTAAAACTTTTAGAAAAACAAATAAGAGTTGTGGAGAAGGAAATTAGTAAGCGAAGGAAAAGTTAGAGTTACAAGGAGTTACATAGAGAGGAAAATTATGTGCCTTTACATATGGTGTTAAAGGTCTTTTTATAGGGCTTTGAGACTGGAGATTATAACCGTTGTAGTGGTTCCTTGTTCAATACTTGTGTTTCTGCCATTGTCATTGTCTTTGACCATGTTAGGTGTTGAGGGCGTATTGGAGAAGTCTAACCCTTCAAGTGTGGGCTATGTATCTTTGGGTTGTGTTTTTGATAGATTGAGTCTGGTCGAGCTAATTCTATTGAGATAATGGCTGCATCACTTTTACTAGTTAATCCTTTGCTTAGTTGAGCTAGAAAAATTTATTCGGAGGGGATATCTAAAATTAATGAATCACAAGATTTTTTTTGTCATTGCCTTTCTTTTTGAGGTGGTTTCAGGTGCTAGATTATGTTTTGATGGTCATTTTAGCGGTTTTTATAAGTATCCTTGATGTGTTTTGAGGAAGGTTGGTGGTATGGTTTCTAATCCGGGGTAATTTTTGAGTGATTCTTCTTTACTTTTGCGGAAAATATCATCAATGATTGTTCCATCTCGACTCTTTTTTCATGGTATTTCAAAATTCTGAGTTCAAAGGATTTGAGATCCGATGATTTCAATTTCACTTCATAAAGGAATTTTGAAGTCTAACGAAATGTGAAATGAGGATTTTGTTTGACCAATTTCTTGGCGATACTCATCTCTCAACGACCTGCTTTCATACTTTCTTAGGTTGATCTAAAGGCGGAGTCTCCCTTATCCTGAGGAGATTTTTGTCTTATTTCTCTTGATTGCTTATAGAAATTAATCTTTAAAAGTTTTAGCGACAAGATTCTCGATAATGATGACTTTGATTATTTCTCATTCACAATCAACTTTAATCAAAGAGAGGTAGTTGATAGACGTGTTTTTGGAGGTTAATGAGGTAATCAAGTATGCAAGAAAGGCGGGGAAGGCTATTTTACCTTAAAGGTTTATTTTGATAAGACGTATGTAACGGTGAAAAATTGAGATTAAATTATTGATTAACTTAACTCACAAAGTGAAAGTCACCACCGCATTTTATTGTTTTCAAAGAAATGAAAAAAGAGCGAATAAAATCTAAAATAAACATGCAAAGTAAGAAGCAAGACTAAAAATAAAGCAACTAGCAAAGCAATAAAGAGATCTAAGATACATGAGTTGGTTATGCAAATGAAAAATATTAGCAACCTAAACATCCACGATACTCCGCATGATTCTCTTTCAAAATATGTGTATTTAACTAAAATGGTTGTTTGTAAAAATGTGTGGAGATGAGAAAAGAAATATTTTTTACAATTTTGATTCGACAAGACTTCAACGAGCCATGTGCCTACGTATCACCATTGTGCAATGATGAAATTAGAACCATCTAGTTCTTCTAAAAAAGAAAAAAGTTGTCGGTTGGTTGATTTTAAGATAAGAGATATTTTGTTATCTTAGGGAGAATACTCGATCAAATATCCATAAACATGTGAATGATGGACCTTTGTATCACAAGTGAAAGGAGGGCACCAACCTAGATAACTCAACAAGTATGCCACTTGTAACACCCCAATTCTACCCCAAGCAAATATGCAAGATAAATCAGAGTTATAAAATTTCAATCATACAAATGAATCGGGACATCACAAATTCTTCTAACAAATTCATTGCATACATCATGGATATATAACACTTATTCAAAAAGTCGGATGAACTAACAACATAACATCTTTCATTAAATATTCAACAACTACGTAACGGAATTCTTCAATAACATCTTTAAACAATATAGCAACTTCGAAACATCTCGTTTTTAATAAATAAACAATTTAAGGTTCAACAAGCGTTCATCCCCCCGAGTGTTACATATCAGAGCAATGACACCGACTCGATCTATTGAAGGTATACAGCCTTCACTCTCGATTACCTGCACGTTACCAACATAAGAGCGACATTCAAACAGAAGGGGTGAGATATCTAACAATATAATAAAGCGCATGATAATCAATATATTAAATTAGACCATTCATCAACATCAAATACATCTCATTATTCATTCATATGATGCGACTCAAAACTATGCAAATGCATGTGGTACCATTGGAGCAGAACTCCCATCTCAAAAATCTAATCTGCCAATTAATAGAGGCATCAAATAAGGCATAGCCTTCATCTCAAAATTTGCCAATCCAGGCCATCTCAAAAAAATGCAATGTATGCGACTCAACATGAATGTAATAACACACTCAGTTAACAACATCTCAAAACACATCTCAAACAACAACATCTCAATCATCAAAACGACAACATTTCAGTCATCTCAAACAGCAACATCTCAATCATCAAAACGACAACATTTCAGTCATCTCAAACAACAACATCTCAATCACAACATCTCATAAACATCTCAAAGTAATTTGTTAAACATTACTTATTTATCAACATCATTTGTTCATCATAATTTATCAAACATAACATTAATAATCACATCTTATTAATAACTCAGTTGTATATCAATACTACAGTAATCCCTACTGTTATTCTGCTACTGCACATCATTATTATCACTAAATCCTACTGTCATAATTCTAACAGCAGCCTTTAACATCTCAAAATTCATCATTCTGTCCAAAAATCAGCACAACGACTAACAACATAATTAATTTCTAAATCCTAAATTAGTTACTGGAATTACACCTCTTAATAATCATTTTAATCATCTAAAATAAAGTTCATCGCGTTAGCTAATCAACGCTTCGAATGACATCTCAAACAGCATCCTAAAACTCAAGTTACAGCAACTTAAAACTGATTCTGTCAAAATTATTCAGTATGCATCGACACAAAACGCCATAGGCCGACACATCCTGCTTCTTCTTCACGCTATGAGTCGACGCATCCCTCTATGGATCGACTCATTCCGGCTTTCAAATCTCAGCATGTATTGACACATGCATCACACCGGTCGACTCATCCTGAGTCTCACACACTTATGTATCGATGCATCCTCCCTACGCGTCGACTCATCCTGAGCCTTACACTAAACATGCATCGACACAAGCATTCATGCATCGACTCATTCTGAGTCAAACATCCTCCATGCATCGACTCATCCAGTTTGAGGTCGACGCATCCTGCGATTTTCTGCGTTTCTACTGTATTTTCACTACTGGAATATAATCACAGTCCCACAAACCTCATCCAAACCATGATAATTCATCACCTAATCATTAACCTTTAATACTACATCGTTTACACAGCATCATATCATCATTTATCCATCGAGAAATCATCAATCACCATCATACATCATTCAATTCAATAACAAAAACAACAATCCTCTAATCCCACATATCAAATATGATTGACCCAATTATAAAGCCAGAACCCCACCCTTACCTTAGATCGAAGGTCGCTCTACAATTTCTGAGTTGAATCTTTGTTCTTGCCGTTTCCTTCAAAACCAGCAGCTTCACGTTTCCACAATCCTTATTTTCTCTTCTACCGTTTCTTCTTTCTATTCCAACAACACATAATAAATAACCTAATATTATTAGATTATTCCTTATTGGACTCAAACTTACACCCCCCTTAATACTTCTACTATCTCAAATTAAGCCCACCTTAATAATATTAGCTTCTAACGTTATTTTACATAATAATATAATACCTCAAATATATTATTATTTTTCCATTAATAAAATAAATCCAATTTATTAACACTTCTTCACAATTATTCCAAAAATAAATAAATTAAATAATTAATTAAATTACGGGCGTTACAACTCTTCCCCACTTAGAATATTTTCGTCCTCGAAAATTTACCTCAATTAAACAATTCTGGATAGGAGTCTCGCATCTTGCTTTCCAATTCCCAAGTCATGCTTTCACCAGCAGCTCCTAGCCAAACCACTTTAACCAAGGCAATCTTCTTGCCCCTTAGAGTCTTCAATTCAAGATCCATGATCCCTACAGGCATCGTCTCCACCGTAAGATTATCCCGTACTTGTACATCGTCCATATGAATCACATGAGATGGATCTGAAATATACTTCCGAAGTTGCGACACATGAAACACATCATGCAAATTCGAAAGATTAGGCGGTAAAGCCACTCTATAAGCAACATTCCCCACTCTCTCTGAAATCTGATATGGTCCAATAAAACGAAAGTGAGCTTCTTAGACTTCAATGCTCGCCCAACACCAGTCACAGGTGTAACTCTCAAAAACACATGATCACCAGCTTGAAATTCTAAATCCTTCCTTCGCTTGTCATGATAACTCTTCTGTCTACTTTATGAAGATTTCATCTTTTCTCGAATCAACTTCACCTTCTCAGTAGTCTCACGAACAAGTTCAGGTCCAAGTACTACACTTTCACCAGATTCATGCCAACATAATGGAGTTCTACATCTCCGGCCATACAACGCTTCCAAAGGTGCCATCCCAATACTAGAATGGTAACTGTTATTATACGTGAACTCTATCAACGGAAGATAAGTATCCCACGAACCTCCCTGCTCAAGAACACATTCCCTCAACAAGTCTTCCAACGATTGAATCATCCGTTCAGTCTGACCATCTGTCTGAGGATGATACGCTGAACTTAACCTTAACTTAGAACCCAACGCTTCTTGCAAACTCTTCCAAAAATCAGAAGTAAATCTTGGATCTCTATCTGACACAATGCACAAAGGAACACCATGCAGCTTCACAATCACACTAACATGAATCTCAGCCAACTTCGACACTGGAAAACTGATGTTAATATGAATAAAATGAGCTGACTTCGCAAGCCTATCAACAATCACCTAAATCAAA